GAAAAAAAAAGGAAGGGGGAAGAGGAGGGGGAAAGAAAAAAGGGCGGGGAGGGGGGAAGAATAAAAGGGGAGGGGGGGAAGGGTGAAAAAGAAAGGGGAGAGGGGGGAAGTGAGAAAGGGAAAAGAAGAGAATCGGGGGGAAAGGGAGGGGGAAGAAGAAGAAAATAAATAAGGTGGGAGAGAGGGCGACAAAAAGGGAGGGAAAGGAGGAAGAAAAAAGGAAAAAAGGGGGAAAAGGTAAAAAGGGGGAGGGGGGGAAAGGAAAAAAAAGAGGGAGGGGGAGAAGAAAAAAAAGAGGGAAAAAGAGAAATGGGGGGGGGGGGGGGCACCATCGAGTGCAGCAGGGGCAGCACTTCCCCCTCCAGCGCCGCGCCTGCAGGAGAGGTCCGGGACAGGTCAAGGAGAGGTCGAGGAAAGGGCGACGCCTCCGCCTCGCGCAGCGTGCCCTCCCTCGCCAAGCCTCGCAGCACCGCCGTGTACGCGTACACGTCGGGAGCCGGGCGGAGAGAGTGCCGCGCTGCCGCCGCCGCCGCCACCCTTGACAGCCGCAACGGCTCCGCCCCCGCTCCCCTCGCCGCAGCCTCCGTCCCCGCCACACCACCCGCACCCGGCGCGGCGTGGCCGCCGCCGGTGCGGGCGAGCGCGGCGAGCGCGCGCTGCGCGGCGGCGACGCGGCGGTGGCGCACGAGCGCCGCGACCAACGTATTGTACGTGACGGCGTCGGGGCCTACGTGGTGAAGACCTCTCCTTGACCTAGACCTTTCCTTGACCTTTCCCGGACCGTGCCTTGGGGGCGGGAGGGCGGTGTCTCGTGCATAGTCGTCCTTGCACACCGCGTGAGTACACGGGCTACGAACACGGCGAGTACAGCGGACTACGGCCGAATCCGGCAGAGGACGCGTCCTCTCGAGCGCTGGGTGGACTACAGGACTACGTCTTCCCCTTCTAGGGCGGCTGGGCCTGCGGGGCCGAGGCGCGAGCGCATGCGGCGGAGCACGCCAAATGCGCGGCGAAGGGAGCGCGCGCGCTGGCGCGGCGTGCCGCGCCGCGTGGCGTAGCCGCGCAGCAGCGTGTTGTACGTGCGCGCGGACGGCGAGACCACGCGCTCCGTCACCATGTCCCTCACCACCAGCTCCGCGTTGGTCATCCGGCCGGAGCGGGTGAAGGCGTCAATCGCGGCGTTGCAGGTGGCCAGATCTGGCTGGACGCCCGCGCGACGCATCGCGACGTAGATCTGCTTGACGCGCCGCCAGTCGCCCGAGCGGCCGTGCCCCTTGATCAGCGTGCAGTACGTCACCTGCCCGAGTGGCATGCCCCTCGCCTGCATCCACGCCAGCAGACCGGCGCACTGCTGCATGCGGCCCCGGTCGGCGAGAGAGTTGAGCACAATTTGCACGAGGCGCCCCGCCTCGTCCGCCGTCTGCGCGCCCGCCGCGCGCCCGCTCCGCAGCTCGAGGTGCGCCCGCAGCGTCCTGTCGGCGGCCTCGAGCTGGCCAGACTTGGAGAGGCCGTGGAGGAGCGCGGCGATGTCGCGCCCGCTCGCCGAACCCGTCACATTGTACCCCGCCTCCCCGGTGCGCGGCACAACCACGCCGTCGATCTCGTACGCCGCGCGGAAGCACGGCACGAACCGCACCTCTCGCGGCGCGCGGATGGCGGCCAGGCCGCCCGCCGGAGGCTGGAGCGGGCAGGTCGGCGCGGAGTGCGGCTGAGCGCCGAGGCTCGCGGCGGCCGCGGCAGAGTGGCCGGGCCGCCCGCGGATCAGCACGCCGGCCACCAGGAAGGCGGCCGGCAGGACGACCATGGGCCCAAGGTGAAGCCCCTCGCAGGCAGGTAGATCTAGCGATTCGCGGAGCCGACTGAGGATCGCGGCTTGGAAGCTTCCATTGAATGCGTTTTTTTAACTGTGCGGTTTTGCTGTTCACAGATAGGTGTGTGTGTGTGTGTGTGTGTGTGTGGGTGTGTGTGTGTGTGTCCACGTTGGAGCCAGGTGTGGTGTGGGCGCGAGAATAGCTCCGCCGTTCATGGAGGCAACCGATGCGAGTCGACTGGTGTGTGTCGTCGTGGTTTCGTATCAAGAATACTCACTCACACTCACAGACAGACGGTACTATGGTCACCAGTTAAACGAAAATTCGACTTTGAGGGATCATATCTCAAAAGGCTGGGTGAGAGCATAGCATTATTGTTGCATATTATGCCACATAAGGTCAAACTTGACCCCACAAGCATCAAGAACCCGATGCTCCGGCTCGACTGTGCCGGCACACTGCCTCCTCGCGCACGCTGCTCGCAGGCCGTTGCGGCCCGTGGTGCACCGGGTTTGCAAGAGCCAAGATGGTGGCGTTTGTGTGTGTGAGTGAGTATTCTTGATACGAAACCACGACGACACACACCAGTCGACTCGCATCGGTTGCCTCCATGAACGGCGGAGCTATTCTCGCGCCCACACCACACCTGGCTCCAACGTGGACACGCCCATAGCTGGGGACACTACTAGGTCACGCATGGCATCACAGAAGTTTTATCTCTGGGCCCCGAAAGGCATCTCTAGCAGTGTCGTTACACATGCCCCCTCCCCTCCTGGGCGCATGCGCCTCACGTCTCGCCAGAGCATAAGCCCTTGGCGTGTGGCGAGACGAGTTTTTCGCCATCGCCGCGAGCAGCAAGCCGCCCGCCGCAAACAGCCGGAGGCCTCGCCGCGGCACTGGCTGCGCCGCGGTCCCGCACCCGTCGACGCAGCACACACACACACACTGGCGTTTGGACATCCCAACCATCACACAAGACAGCCTGTAGGTGATGGCGGGACGGCGCAGTGTTTGTGGCACTCGGCAGTAGGCACCCGCTGCACGGCCCCGCTGTCGGCTCTCGCGGCTGCGGAACCGTGTGTATCGCGCGCCTTGCGAACCGGCCCCAGAAGGGGACGGTTCGGGCGAGTGTGGCAGCTCCTGCGCTAGTATGGGCACCCTCTATCATAGCACTACTGATCCTGGTCATTAGAGCTGCCAGGGAGCGTCAGGAGCCGGTAGGAGTCAAAACCCCTCATATTTGAGACATCGTGGCCCATATTCTCGCACAACGAGCCCTTTGTCAACCGAACGATCCGCCCCCCCCCCCCCCCGGTGTGTGTGGTGCGACTCCCCCCGCCTTGTTTCGAAAAATAAAAAGAAGCCCACACGTTGATTGTGTCGCGCCCGGTTTTCCTGGAGGTTTCCGAATTTAAAGAAATACGTGCCCACGTTTGATATGTGGACGGAGGGGAACAACTCCTGGGGGCTGCATCGCCTTGTCCGTGCTGCCCACGCTCGCGCTCGCGGACCACCACCGTGGACGCGAGGGGGCGGCCAAGCATGAGGGCCTGGTGGCTCCTCGCCTTCGCCCGCTTCGCCGGTGCCGCGCCTGACCTCCTCTTCCACGCGCCGGACGGCCGCGTCCCGACTTTCGCGCCGCGGCCGCCGGTGCCCAACCCAGTCGACGATCCGGACTGGCTCGTCGCCGCATCGGGCTTCTGCTCCGACGTTTCCTCTGCGCCTGACGGCAGCATCGACTTCAAGTTCCACCCCGAGGTGTCGGTCGCCTTCACCGACGCCCCGTTCCACCAGGCCGCCTCGCTGGAGGACGGCATCGAGATCCGCGGCGAGGAGTACAGCCAGACCGACGTGCTCGCCGCGGGCACATGGACCAACAAGAACATCGCGCTCCTCGAGCCGACCTCCTTGTGCGACGACCCGCCCGCCGGGTCGCAGGACGAGTGGGCCATCAGCGTCTTCAAGGTGACCGGCAGCGAGGCGTGCGGCGAGGAGTGCGTGCACTTCTCCGGCCTCGTCTCGGGCGCGTCGGACAACTTTGTGGCGCGCAAGGAGGGAAGCTTCCTCTGCCAGCTCTTCGTCGAGTCGCACACCTTCTCCGACCAGGCGCGGCGCAGCCTCCGGCGGCGTCTGGCGCCAACGCCTCTGATGACGAACATGCACATGCAGCCGACGGCGCGTCAGCTAGCCTTCGCTCCCGTCCCTGACATCGAACCGGCTATCGACCTCACGGCGTCGTGGCTGGTTGCCGCGGCCGGCATCTGCTCCGACCTCTCCGTTACGCCCAAGTTGCAGAACGTCAGCGCCGAAAACTACGCCGACCAGCCGGGCACCTTTGTCGCGGACATCAAGTTCAAGTTCCATTCGGAGACCTCGGTGGCCCACACCAAGTCGCCAGATCGCGGCGCCGTCGAGATTGGAGACGACGGCGTTGTGCTCGGCGACAAGGTGTACACCGCCGTTGACGTGCTCTATGCCGCCGTGTGGGACCTCAAGAACATCGCGCTCCTCGAGCCGACCTCCTCCTGCGTCGACCCGCCCGCCGGGTCGCAGGACGAGTGGGCCATCAGCGTCTTCAAGGTGAGCGCCAGTGACAAGTGTGGCGCCGAGTGCGTCCTGTACTCGGGCCGCGTCTCCGCCTCCTCGTCGAGCCTGGACGTCTCGGTGCAGAAGAATGGGCGCTTCCCGTGCCAGCTCTACGTTGACACCAGCGGGCGACGACAACAAGTGGGCCGCGCCGCCACTTCCGCCCCCCCGCCGCCACCTCCGCTCCTCAACTTCAAAGCCGGCGACGTCGACCCGAATCGAGACCCGGACTATGACCCCGGTCTCGTTGTGTGGAACAAGCTCGCCGGCCAGGAATTGACGTGCGGCAAGGAACAGTCCTGCCCGGATGGGACCGTGATGTCTTTCGAAGTCTACCCGGAGAAGAAGTTCCCCAGCGCTCGCGGCTCGTACTGGGACTACTTCTCGATCCTCACGTACCCTGACAATGGTCCGACAAAGGAATGCCCGACCACCGGCTTCAGAGACGTGCACGATGCGGCCGAGTGCGAGAGCCTCGCTCGCTCGACTGGTGAATTCTCTCTCGCCCCCCAAGCTATTCCCAGCACGCGCGTCATGACCTGTCATTATGTATAGGCCTTGAGTGGGTCAGCAAGCTGAGCAACGACGCCAACTGGATTAACGGCTGCTTCGAGTGGTACCCATCGTCGAGCAAGGCTCAGTGGTCGAGCAAGAAGGTGTATTGGAACGAGCGCCCGGGAGCAACAACCGGCAACATTGGCGGCCACAAGATATGCGTGACTGCGTCCAATATGCTGCCCAGCAGCACGGGCTGCTATCAGATGACCACCAAGGAGAGCTGCTGCGGCTTCGTCGACGGGCGAACAGAATACAAAGGCCAGCCGTGCATGTGGAAGGGCGACTATTGGGCCGACAATCCGAGTGGCGACAAATGGCGGTGCGACATCAAGTCCGTGGTCGACGAAACGAAGGACCAGTGCGGTCTGCAAGACGGCTCCGGAGTAGGCGACGGCTGCTACGACGCCTATTGGTGGGACACATTCAATAGTGCAGGCTGGAGCGAGTGCGCAGACGGCTATGCAATCGTTGGCTTGTACTTCAGCGACTGCACCGGGCTTCACTGTCTCGAAAAGGCACGCTGCTGCCCTGTCGCATACTTTGAACCGGGCAGCAAGGGAACTTGCACTGAAGAAACAGATACTAGTAATGTTCGGGATGAATTCAACGACGACGACGACTACTACTTCAAATGCACGAAATTGGGCGACTACTCATACATCAAGGGGTTGTATCGCTCGGATGGAGACGACCTGTGAGCGCTTCTCCGAGGAGCGACGAAAAGCAAGGCCCGCAGGTCTAAGAGCCCTCTCCCCTTGCCACAGGCACAACCTCGAGTCATTCAAGTGCTGCCGCTTCGACGTCGGCAACACGAACAGCGTCTACCAGTACGAAGTGACGCCAAACTGCGTGGATGTTGACACTTCTGGTAATAAAGCTCTGGGGTTTTCTGCTGATTGGACGTATTGCCCCAAGAACATGGTGATGGCGGGGATGTTCCAGGACAGTTCTGACGGGGACCGCTGGTCCGCGATCGACAAGATATGGTGCTGCGAGATCACAGGGAAGAAGCGAGCGCTGCGCTACGGCTCGCTGCCGGCAGGGCGACGGACAAAAAGGATGTCGCCGGCTGCTCGGAAGCGTGCTCAGGGTACCAATTCATGGCGCGCTCAGACACAGGCGCGTGCACGTGCGACAACGAATGGCCAAGCGTGACGAAGTACGGCTCCGTGAGCAAGACGCTCACCTACCCTAACGTGGCATGCCCGGATGGGTACAAGGAGGTGCTCGATCCGTACGAGTGCGCTGGTCTGGCTCGATCGAGCGGTTGGGCCCCACACATGCCCCCCCCCTCCCCCGCCACACACACATGCCCACCAAGCAATGAGCGACCTGTCTAGGCACCTTTGAGTGGTACGGAGAGCTGAATGAAGACTCCAACTGGATTCACGGCTGCTTCAATTGGTGAAAGAAATGCGCGCAACACGTCAGCTGACACAGCGACATCCTTTTTACACCTTGTGGTGATGATGATAGGTATGCTGAGAAGGACAAGCCCGATGTGTTTGCGTCTAGGGTCTATTGGAACCAGCGACCAGGCGCGAAGACGGGCACCTTCGGTGGCCACAAGCTCTGCGTCACCGCATCGTCGACGTGTGAGAACCAACCCGCAGGATGCAACACAGTGTATGACCTCAAAACGCCGACGCCCAAGACAGACTACTTTGGAAACTGGGTCTGCCTGGCGCCCCCAGATGGCTACTACTGCCGCGACGGCAACTGTGGCCTGCCCTTCACCTGTGACGGGACCGATGGAGCTGCCTGGGAAGCGATGGCGAAGTGCCCATCCAATGCCTTCACCTGCCTCGCCAAGGATGCCAGCAGTGCCGATGGTGTGCTCAAGCACGGG